ACCTGTGTTAATATACACACAGAAAAATTTACCGTCGAAACAAAAATATTTGAGGTAAATTTAAACGTAAACTCAGTTTGTTCTGGCCACAAACATAAATTAGGTTCATTTCAAACGTATTCTACGTTTGAATCCATTGATAATAATGTTTAAAACAAAAATAATGTTACGTTTATTTTAAAAATATTCGTGTTGAAAATAAACGTGAATATTTTTGATTTATTTATTGCTTTTCATGTTTAAAATAAACAAACATATTTTGAAATTATTTCAGCATTTGAATGCTGAATAAATCAAAATAAAATGGGTAACAAATTAATGGAAATTCCCTCGGAAATTCCTGCGATTATGGAAAGTCTGTGGATGTTTGGATCCGGGAGGCCGTCGGGGTGGGTGTCCGATCCGATCCAGTTCAGTAAAACTGGTGAAACTTTGTGATATTAGCGTCATTTTGTCGTTTCTGACGCTGGTCCTCATACCGGCCTCTTTCTAAGTTTAGTGTTCGGGGATGATCTGTTTTTTCTTTCGACGTCGGGTGGGGGGTGAGGATGATATGGGGATCGGTATCAGAAACGACGGATTGACGTTAATATTGTGATGTTCCACCGGTTTTGTCGAGCTTGGAACATTTGCTTGCGTGGGTTTCCGGACCCTCTACTTCGGTTTCGCCGCTTGCGGGCCGTTTTCGGTTAAGTTTGCCGAATGTAAACAAGAAGGAAAAAAGGACACGCTAAAAATTGATTACCCAGATTATGTATTGTTGAAATAAACATGCTTTTGAATTTATTTTAAACATACATATTTTTGTTGAAAACATGTTTTTAATTTACTTTGAACCACAAACGAAGTTACAGACGACTTTCTCCGAAGAAATTAATTAAAATAATGTGGTTCTCTGTAATAGAATTTTAGACCACTTTCCGCCGGTCACCGCCAGGTTCGCTAGTATTTTTGATTTGAATTAATTCAAGTTGGTTTTGTGTGCAATGATCTGGCAACTCGCGTTGACGGTGTGCTGTTTTCTCACTCATCGAAGGAAATTTTGATTAGAGTGAGAAAGTAAGGAACATTCAGCGCGGGAACCGTGTGCGGTACTATAGGTGCGGCAGAAAGAATGTAGTCGACTCCTTTGTTCTCACGGTGTTCTTACGCATGGTCCAACGTTACGTCACACTAGATTATGCATAAGAACATCGTGATAATGAAAGAGCAAAGTTTGTATGTTTGGGAGCCTCTCGCATTCAACCCCCATTCCCCCACCATCCGATTGAAACGGGCCAGATGAAGTGGGTTTGTGTAATTGAATTAGTGATTTCAAGCTGAACATTGCATTATGTCCTAAGTAACATTGACAGATTCTCTTCGTTGAATTTTTCTTTGCATCACCACGGCCATGTAAAGACATTCCCCGGTATTTTTAGCACACAGATCGATAAAAGAAGCTTTTGTCTAGCATCTAATACGACAAACACATCAATAAACGGTTATGTGATAAAGTTATTTACGAAAGAGAAAGTCGACGAAGATAATCGATCAAAGTTACTTAGGACCTAACGCAATGTTCAGCTTGATTTATTAGCAAAATAACCGGCAGCAGCAACATCAGAGTGGCAATGGCGAACATGTGTATCAGTGGTCGGTCCGAATGTGGTTTCTCCCCGTCGTCGTGGTCCGTCCCGTTCTCCTGGTAGAGAACGAGCTGTGGGATAGAAACTAATGGGCTAGCTTTAGACTCTAACGACCGATCGGTATCGACACGGAAACGGTAGCTTCGAGGCCGGGTCAAAAATCGAAGTAAATTTGACAACGTCTTTCACCTGCGGAGTTATTGTTTGAGCGATACACAACGTGCTGCTTCCGACTGGCACTTTAATTTTATTGACTGTTAATTAGAACATCGTCGTCGGTTCTTTCCTTAATCTTCGATAACGATGTTTGGTATCAATTACTTCGGCAACACAGGTCATTATAGGGGCACGTCTTGTCATGTCGGTTGCGGTTGCCGCAGTGTAGGTGGAACGGAACATTAACCTTATTTGTAGGAGTGGTCCTTTGGCCCTATCGATGACGATGCTCGGCTTGGGTGCGTATGTGGCTTGGGTGGAACATTAGCATTGGCTTATCGACATGGATCGGGAGGTGTTCGTAGCTTGCTACTCGTAGATTACGACACTCCGATACGTTGATGGTCATCAAGCCAAAATAAATACACCGATAACTTTCAACTGCAGCATAAAAACAACAAAACGGAGGAAGCTCCCTTTCACAATTAATAATTAATAATTATTATCATCAACCGCTCTGCAGGAACTCCTTCGGGGATCAAAGGACGAAAACCGCAAAAAATGGGATAGAAATTTTGATCCTGCGCCAAGAACTATTTACTCGAGGAAAAGCCGACAAAACAGGAAGTTCGCTGTTGGGAAACATAAATTGTAGCACCACTTGCGAACCTCTTCGTTTTTGGAAGTAAATTTCAAACACAGTCTGACGTTTGCTTATGGATTTTACCATAGGAGTAAAGAGCTATATAGATTCGCCGTCAAAGCCAATAGCATCAATTATATACATGATTCTTTGACAGTGTGCAAAGAGTGCGTATCATTTTGTCATTTTTTTTTATGCATTTCAGTTTTGAGTAGAGTGAAAGAGATAGAACCAAAACATTCTAATACATTTGGTGAAAATGCTAGTACAATCCAGTAGTAGTGTTGCCATGTGGTACAATCCAGTAGTAGTGGTGTTGCCATGTGGTACACTGAAAAATTGAAATAGCAGGTTAGTCACCAAAGTTTTCGAGCCGCTCCGTCTGTCACTTCGTTTGTGCTTTGAACTATGCATATTTTTATTTAATAAACATATATATTTTTAACTTAAATGAACAAAATTTGGTTCCGTGTACATTCGCTAAATGCGATGTTTTTCTTCAGTCGAGTTTCAGTACAAGACACTGAAGAAGTCTGCACATTGTAGACGAAATACGCGTATCTGTCAAGGATAAGCAAATAAGGTAGTCGAATTAAATGGAAATTACTAATCCTTCTCTCTCTCTCATTATACAGGTATTCCACTAAGACGCCCACATTCATCAGGATAAAAATATATATTTTTGTTAGTAAAGCTGTCAAATCAAACAAAACACGAATATTTTTAAAATAAACATATAATTTTTATTCTGAACATTGATGTCACATGACTTTTAACATAAAATACCTACACACAAAAAAACAAAAATTGTATCAATAAAAACCATGCATTTTCAAAATAAAAGTTTCCCCCCGCATAAACAATAACCATAAGATGCGCCTAACCACCAATTCGGGATATCATCCCAACTTTATGTGGGATAGTCGTACCATCTATGATATCGTTAGAGTATGGTACCCGTTTATTAGGGCCAGCTTTGATAGCACGAAAATCAACTTTAATCAACTTAATAAATCAGCTGAAATACATTTAATAATGAATTGAATACATTTTGCGGGGGCGACCCCGGTGTAGTGGTTAACATCCATACCTCTCATGCCAAAGTCACAAGTTTAAACTCTCCCTGAACAAGTCACGAATGATCCAAGACTGTTAAAGCACAAACAAAGTGACAGGCGACTAACTGGCGAAGAAATCCATTAAAATAATGTGGTTCACTGTAATAGAATTTTCTTGGAAGCTTGTGCCATCATCCACCAGATGGGTTAGTTTTTTTGTTTTGATTTGAACAAAGTTGATATTGTGTACAATGGTTCTTTGACAGTGTGCAAAGAGTGTACACTCAAAGATAAATTAAATCAAAAAAGCTTAAAAAGTATGCAGATTCCCGCTTCACCTTATTGAGTCCGAGCCATGATTACTTCGGCAGTAGTCATGCATGATTAAATTCGAAATAATCTTTCCAGTATTAAATATTATTCTTTTTCAATACTGATATATAAACAAAAACAGATTAAAATTCAATCAAAAATTATTAAAACAGAATCAAAAATTCAGTGCCAACATTTCAAAGGGGCGTAATTGCATTTGTAAACAATGGCTTTAGCCGTCGATTTCTCGCAAATAAATGCTCACTCTTCCAAATTAACAATGCTAGCTGGTAGAGGAAACATTTCTCTTCCTGTTGATGTAATTAATATTCATGAGTGCGCTTTTATTTGGGAGAAATCGACGGCTAAAGCCATTGTTTACAAAAGCAATTACGCCCCTTTGAAATGTTGGCACTGAATTATTAAAATTTATTCAAAAAAGATTATCTTCAATCTAATCAACCATGATTAAGCTGGGATTCATATCAAATGCTTAGTTTTTAGAAAGAGAGTATAAATTCTTAATCTTTCGAAATGATGTTTAATGTCAAATTGATTAAATTTCAGGCAAAGTGGGAATAGTTTAATTTATCAGTGTATCATTTTGTCATTTTTTACTCGATTTTTTATGCATTTCAGTTTTGAGTAGAGTGAAAGAGATAGAACCAAAACATTCTAATGCATTTGGTGAAAATGCCAGTACAATCCAGTAGTAGTGTTGCCATGTGGTACAATCCAGTAGTAGTGGTATTGCCATGTGGTTTACTGAAAAATTGAAATAGCAGGTTAGTCACCAAAGTTTTCGAGCCGCTCCGTCTGTCACTTCGTTTGTGGTTAAAGCGAGCGAGGCTTTTATGTGTACACATATTGAGTATGTGTCCGACACATAGATATCATTTGTTGATTACATTGCAAAAATTCATGTGTGGGACACATAAAAACAATATTTGAATTTTTATCAGTGTAGTTTCTACGTGCAATTCCTTTTCTGAAAACATTTTGAATAATCTGGATGCTAATTTTCTCTGAACTGACGATATTATTTTTCTTTCCGTGCCTAAATCTTCGAGGCTGTGAATCCTTTTCCCACTGGGGTTTGCTATTAAATGCCTGTCTTGTAACGCATAACGCCGCAGATTCTGATGTTTTTGTGTTGACAGTTCGAGTGACAATTTGCCTCGCTTTCGCTTCTTGTTTGTCACGGCAAGTGGGAGTGCGTGGAGTTGGAGTGGAAGAACCATCGTTCAGCAATCAGGTCACAGACAAAGGACGGAAAAAGTTTCTACACTGTCCGCATCGCAGGCTAGTATCGTCATCTTTCAGCTCGCAGTAGCAGCTCCTCTCGTCTTTTTTTTCTCGTTCGAGAGTTTTTCGATCCGTAATTTCGCCTGCCGTGCATCGAAAATCCGCGTTCGGGTGTGCCATTCGACTAGTTTCTGCGCCGTTCCAAGTGCTGAACTTTTGATTGGTGTGCGAAAGCGCACCGCAGTTGGACAATTTCCAAGTGGAAAAATCGTACGGTGGTGGTTCGGGGACGGTACGCTTTTCGTAATAAAATATTCATTTCACGTCTGCGGTGGTGGTGCGGTAGGTTGTTGTACGGAGGAAAGGACCGACCGCCGAACCTAGCCCAACCGAATCGAGTGCGTTTGTGCGAACGAGAAGGCACGAAGAAAGTGTTGTTCACCCCCTTCGGTCGGTATCTCCGAACGACAACACAGACCGTGGAACAAAGTTTTGTGTCCATCAAGCATCCAGGGGGACATTTGAGCAGGATAAAGATGACTTATCGGGAGGCCTCTCACGCCGGAAGTTGGTACACGGATTCAGGTAGGCACGGGGCTGGAAGCTTGACTTGTTCTCTTGTGTTGTTTTTTTTTTTACCCTTCCTTGCTGCTGTATCTCTTCACAGTTTTTGTTTTTAATTGCTTTCTGGGAAGTAGTTTTTAGGAAAGACAACATTTTTCTCATGTTCCTTTGTGTTCATCTTTGCTGACATTGATGTTCCCGGGGAGGACAGGTACTTTTTAGCTCGAAATCATGCATATTTAGAAAATTTCACCTTAGCTTTGGACATGCTCCACTCGATTCGAAACACTACCTACTTATAAAAATGATACTACAGGTTTTTTTTTTTTGCGTTCTTCACGTTCTTTGTTGCAGGTTCCGATCTGAATCGACAACTGTCCAAATGGCTGGACGACGCTGATCTGACATTCGGGCCGGCCCGTGCAATTATTGCTCCGTAATTATTTTCTCTTTTTTGGCATATCATTCGCTCCCGGGCGATCGAAGGGAATTTGTGTCCTTTCGAATAATTAACTCTTTACCTTTCTTTGTTCTTCTCAACAGCCACGCCGGATATCGCTACTGTGGAGCATGCGGTGCATGGGCCTACCGACAAATTAGCCCAGCTGTTGTGTAACTATCATCTTTTTTTTTTGTTCGTTTGTTTGTTGCATTCAATTGCCATCTGCAGCAAAGTTTTGGCATGCCTCGAAAGCTGGTATTCTTTGTTTCGTTCTATCTGTATGATTTTTTTGTTGTTGCTTGTAGGAAACGTGTGTTTATTTTGGGTCCATCGCATCACGTGCGGCTGTCCCGTTGTGCCCTGTCGGCGGCCCAGTACTGTCGCACGCCGTTGTACGACCTGAAGGTGGATCAGCAGATCAATGCCGAACTGGAGGCTACCGGGGACTTCAAGTGGATGGACCAGAAAACGGACGAGGATGAACACAGCATCGAGATGCATCTTCCCTACGTGGCCAAAGTGATGGAAGAGTGAGTAGTTCGAATGGTATATTTTTTTTACAGTTTTTAGCCATATTGCTGATAGGATTTACCAGAAAAAGGGTTTCGGGGTTAGCAGGAGCAGTAGAAAACAACTACTGTCAATCCATTTCAAGTGGTGTTGATGAATGGAAAGTTTGTTCCATAGGAATCGTCGTCCGACACCAAATTTAAACGGTATTATAAAAGCCTCAGGTTTTTCTTCTTCTAATGGTATGTGGTGCTAAGCTCGTTCAAGGTCATCAGTGCTGAATATTGTCTTACCATAGAGAGCGTTTAATTGGTCGTAAATGTGCAAGACCGGATACCTGTTCGAAACAGTCACATGGCTTAGATTACATGCAAATACTCTAGTCACAAACTACAGCAACAAATCGGACTGCAGGACTTGCTTGAATTGTTCGAAAGACCGGTGGCAGTCGGACTTTCACTACCACTTCGATTCATTTTTCAGTAGCTGGTCAAGACGATGTTTAAGCTAAGAGATGTTCGCACCAACCTGCCGTAGAAGTTCAGCGAGTTCTCAAGTAGCGGATTTCGGCCTGGAAAAAGCAAAGATTCTTCGTGGAACCCATATTCCCGTTGACGTTGCATCTGTAACGATGTTTGGTATACTACCAATAATCGCATAACTGTCCCATTTTAATAGGAAATCAAACAAAGATGGAACTAATATGCGATTATGGGCAGTATGACATCCAGTTTGGTCTAAAGATGTTAGCATCATCGTACGCACAGCAGAGATGACATTGTCTGCAAAAAAGCTGTCTATACCAGTCGTTGGAATGCACCCATTAGGACCACATTTGATCACATCCGGACATGTTCCGGATGCCCCTGGGAATTCCGGAAACATGTTCGGGATACGTTCAGATGTAACAAAATGTGATCTTTAATTTTAAATATTATCACCAATGGATTGGTCATTGAATGCTGATGCTATTATAGATAAACATTTCAAAAGGTCCTATCTGCATTGATCGATTTACATCAACTTTCTCTTTCATCAATAACGCAGCTGCAAAACCTTTCCCTGTTGCATTTGACGTTTTGGACGCTATCATCACATCACATCAAACTATGTGGTAGAATTAGTGTGAAATCTGTTTGCATAGCAGTGGTTATTGAAAGAGAAAGTCGATGAAGAGAATCGATCAAAGCAGATAGGACCAGGGTTCTGCATTTTCGAAACAAAGAAATGAAAATGATCTCCCCGCAGAATCGCTTCATTTCGAGCAATATTATCGAGTTACGATGAACATTCCTCCTGTCAAACATGACTTGACTATCGCTTGTTTCGTTCGTCAAGTGCATCAGTTCATTTCATTCGAAGCACAGACTTGCTTCAATTGACGCAATGAATGACTCGAAAACTGCTTCCTTCGTTTTTCCAACTTTCACTTCAATTCGGGGCTCATTCGACTTGTCAGACCGCGGCCATCGGGCTCAGGAAAAGTGTCAAGTATCCTAAGATATGGGTATTTTAGGAACGGAGACGACGCGTAGATGCTGAAAATAATTATCCGACGTCATTTTGGAATCCAATATGGCGGCCTTCATGTTTCACACAAAGTGTGAAATATCCTAAGATCTGGGTATTTTCAGACCGGGGATGACCGTAGATGCTGCAAATCGATTTTACACGCCATTTGTAGGGTTTTGACGCTTCTTATAAAACCGGAAGCCACCATCTTAAATTTCAAGATGGCGTCGGACATCGTTTTTCGGCCTCTAGATGTCACCCCGACTCCAAAAATACCAACATTGAACGGTATTTAACTGTACTTAATACTTTTTCTGAACCAAACCCGCCATCTTCGATTTCAAAATGCTGGAAACATTTCTGGCTCTCTGGCTCTGGTTTCTGGCCGAAAATACTTATGTCGTTTTCGTTTTTACTACACTACACCGGTGTAGTGTAAGCAGCAATAAGTGCGAGTCATTGACAGTTCATCATCACTTCTTTGTAAACAAAGGTGCAACCGGTAGCTACACCCTAATTTTTTTCGGTGTTCGGCAGTGTAGCACCGGTGTAGCTACACCGCAAAAACGAAAACGACATTACATTGATGGGTATTTGACAGTATTTCCCATTTTTTTAAACCAGAAGTTGCCATCTTGGATTTAAAAAATGGCGTCTGACATCGATTTTTGGCATCTACGTGTCATCCCCGTTCTGAAAATACCCATATATTATGGTATTTGACACTTACTCTCAAATCGGAAGCCGCCATCTTGGATTTCAAAATGGCGTCGTATGGCAATTTTCGATCTAGACGTCACCCCGATCCCAATCATATCCATATTGATTGGTTCGCATAAGCGTTTCCCACTTTCTCAGAAATCGAGAGCCACCACATTGGATTTCTAAATGTCGTCGGATATAGATTTCCAGTCTCTAGACGTCACCCCGATTGAAAAAAATACCTATATTTATGGGTATTTGACAGTATTTACCACATGTACTGAAATCTGAAGCCTCCATCATGGATTTAAAAATGGCGTCGGACATCGATTTCCGGCCTCTGGACGTCATCTCGATTCCAAAAGTACCCATGGGTAAACAAACCATCCGACAATGATAAATTTAATTGTGATTCTATGTGATTCACAGATCTATGCGCATGCGCTTAAATGAACCGAGTAAAAAATCAACAAAAGTCAGAAAAACTGCGCGAATTGGAATCGAACAGCTTCGCTTCAATGCGAAAGTAAGTTCATTTGACTATGAAAGACGAAATGATCACGAGCCAAGCCAAAACAAACAGCATGAAAACTGGTGAAAGTGGTTCTGTTGATATTGAACGGGATCTGCTCGAAGAGAAAATAGAATGAGTTTCAATTGAAAGTGTTGGTTGGCAGCTTCGTCGTCGCTTGACGATTTTCGATTGAAAGTGACTTTGTTGGGCCCTGGACCATTTGAAATGTTCATCGAGATTTGATGTGTCGCATTACTGTTATTATTCAAGTTCGGGCATATTCCCTGGGGGTTTCCAGAACAAGTCCAGATGTGGTCAAATGTGGTTACAGTGAATATAATGTTGAACCATCTTTGCATTCTCATGCAATTCGATGTTTCGCATGATCGGTTTAGATTCTATTCAAGTTCTGGTCTGAATTTCTATAGTAGTTGTTTCTTCTTTGGCCTAATAACCCAACATCCGCCCTGAGCATTAAATATAATCAGTTTGATATATCTCATGATAAGTTCTTGTATAAATTAAAGTTACGGACCATTTCCCTGAAACACCAGGAACATGTTCTGATGTGGTTTATGGGTCCTGTCCTCAATATGACCACAAGTTATCATGTTTTTAAAGTTCCGTTGATTTTAACATCAACATCATCACCGAATTCAGAAGCTCTATGTTTGACATATAGAGTAATAGAATCAAACTGACACTACATAGATAATCGACCAAATTAGGCCTCGACTTGTAGAAATATCGACTTATGGAGAGTACGATACATGGAAAACTGAAGGGACTGTAGAATCCATCGAGTTATAGAATATCGAGTTGTGGAGAGTTGACTATACGTATCTCTAAACTTCGCCGAATTTCATCAAACTACTGCAAATTTCGTTGAACTTTTTACTCATACAAAGCAAACTTCTTGAAAATTTGCTGCACTTCTAGAAAGTTTCTTGAACGCTGCCTCTGGATAGTGGATTTGACGGTGGTTCAGCAAGAATGATATGTAATTCATATACAAATATTGTGAAATATGTTTTTAATCCTTTTAAGATTCTTGGTGGGTCACACCTCCGACCTGGTTGCAGCAACAGTGTCGCATGAATTAACAACAACTGCCTGTCTGAGGTATCCACACCTGTTAGTGGTGCCTCATTTAATGTGTCATCATTGTCACCCTTAGTTATTTTCACACTAACAAGTCAATACTTTTTACCACTTGTTGCAAGTTATACTTTGATATCTTTTAGTCTAATAGATTCTTCTTCCACATTCGATCCCATTTCACCACTGGTAGCAAGATCGCTGATCTCTTCTAGTCTAATAAATTCCTTTTCCACATTCTGTCTCATCCTCTCTCTAATTGAGCACAACAATAAACAAGTAAACAGACACAATAAATGGGTTACAAAACATCTAGATAGAGCTGGAATTAGGGCCTGACAGTTTTTGTGAACGGTGGACCGGCATCCTCATCGATCTGAAGAAGACTTTCCCTACCCGATGGTTATGTTGGTTTGCGTGAGCGTGCCTTGAATTCCTGAAAGGCATCGAGAGAGGTCATTGTTTGCAAAGGCTGTTACGCCCTAATTCCAGCTCTATCAACTAATAGTATCTAACCTTAACCTTAACTTTCTTTCTTTCCATAACACAATGAACGAGTGAGACATACGGAAATGCAACAAACGTGTCAAATTAACTGCATTGGTAACGAAAACACAGAGGAGCGTACACCTGATGCCACACACTAAGGTGATGGTAATAAGGTCGGTGATAATATGACATTTACACAAAAGCGGAGATCAAATCAGATTGGTCAACGTACCGAAATTCGAAACTTCGATTAAAACGTGGAATCTGTGCAGCACCAGTGGAGAACACTCAAAAGCTGCAGGTCTCACTAACCGCTGTCTGCGGTATATAACTTGTGGCTGGTGGCCTCAAAAATGGATCTCAGATGTCAATGTCATCAGAGGCCGATAGCAATAGAAACGAAGTCTGCAGGCAAGCGTTTGATTATGAATTAAATCCGCCCGAAAATCGCAGCAAAGGCAAATACTAAGGCGGCGGAGCGTCAACAAGTAAATTAAGCAAGCCGATAGGAATTTGATCTGGACCCAGGTCAAGCAGCTGCCCAGAATGGAAGTCTTTCACGTTGGCCCTGTGCACCTCTGGACGTTCCCAGGTATTTGAGTACGACGACGATGGACGTTGCCCCTTGGAACGGAAATCAAAGCGAACAAACCTGATGTTGCACAACAAGCTGGCGTGTTTTTTTTTTTTATTTCTTTTCAGCAA